CAGCGCCGGCAGCAAACGAGCCCGAGGGTGTTTTCTTCCCAACCCTCACGGTAAGGCTTGCTTCTTGCGAGGGCCGTGGCTATTTTATTTTTGTTGTGGTTTCGGGAGGGGGGGGCTAGTGTTTTTTTTTTGCGCATGGTTGAGTCAACGTCTTCGTTTTTTCGTAGTATCGCCATGGAGGATATGTGCGCCTCCGCAGAGGCGTGTGGGTTTGGTTGGCAACAACAATTGAGAGGATGCCTTGCTGCAACAAAGGAGTATCAAGGGTAACATGGTCGTAAAACACCGAGACCGTTGTGGTTCACGGGCGAGTTTCTGCGCCTCCAACCTGCGTACATGCATGTCGTTTGGTGTTTGCCAGTTTGCAAGACTTGTTCTTGCAACCCAATACTACGTTGGGTGTTGGCGGTAACGCTCAGGCACGCTTTGGGTTCCACCATTTTGGAGCCCTGCAATTTTCGCCGTCTCCGCGCATTCCCATTGCAAGCGCAGGAATGTGTTGGCAATGGGACTCGAAACGACCCCAATTCTTAGTGGGTGTGTGTGCGTCCCCTTCAGGTTTGCAACCTGGAGCAATGTTTTACCCACGCGAAGAAACTTACGTTGTATGATAGATACCATAGGGAGTTTTTTGCGACCATCGCGGTTTCGTCTGGCGTGCTGCAAACCGATTTATTTGTATAACAATAACTCTGCACAACCAATTTAATGCAGATACAATANGCAAGCGCAGGAATGTGTTGGCAATGGGACTCGAAACGACCCCAATTCTTAGTGGGTGTGTGTGCGTCCCCTTCAGGTTTGCAACCTGGAGCAATGTTTTACCCACGCGAAGAAACTTACGTTGTATGATAGATACCATAGGGAGTTTTTTGCGACCATCGCGGTTTCGTCTGGCGTGCTGCAAACCGATTTATTTGTATAACAATAACTCTGCACAACCAATTTAATGCAGATACAATATCGACGACAACAACGCTTACGATTCATACGATCCTAACTGGGAAAACAAAGTCGAACAAGCCCACGCTTTTCATGCAATACCCAAAACAAGCAGCCTCCTAGACCTACCGTGCCCCGGTCTCGTCCGAACACGATTTATGTCAACCCGGCGCCAACATACACATAACCAAGACCCACGCACCGGCACATTATGAACCACGTGTACCCGGAAACTCACGGCCATAACGCTTAACATCGACACCCACAAAACATGGCAGCGAGGATCAACATGTCACACATCACACCCTCTTACCAACACCAAAAACGCTTCAGTCCAGCGCCCTCCGCCCTCCACAACGA